AAAAAAAAAAAAAAAAAAAAAGAAGAAGAAAAAATAGCAAAATAAATGATGGAAATTAGTCAATCTTTAATGCAACCAATATATGTTAATCAAGAGAAGGGAGCAATGGGAAATAATCATTTAACTCCAAGGCAGCTAACATCATAGATAGCAGAGGAATATACTAGTATATCATCAAAATGTATAATTTTGCTCAAGTAAAATGAACTGTAAATATAGCCTGATATATCAATCTTGATTCCTTGTTCTAAGCAATAACAAAAGCAAAGCAAATAGGCATCATAATAAAATTTTAAAGAGGTAAGTTGAAGACTTACAGGTTACAAGGTTGTTTAATCCTTAATGCCAAGGCTAGTAACTCATCTCCATTGAAATAATCTGAAAACGTAAGCCATTTTTGAGGCAAGTGAATGCATGCATGTTTTCAGAGGAAAATAATTTTAAAGTGAATAATAAATAGTATGTGCAGCTGATAAATCCAAGGAATGAATGAAGTATTAGTAACATTGAGGAGTGGCTTGGCTTTATTTACCTCAACAATTGGGGAAAAAGGATTTGCAATGCTTATAAGAAAAGGCAACAGAAGGCAACATAATTTCTCTAAATTCTCATATGAAAAGCATAAAATGGTGATGCATGTTTCTGTTCACTCTAAGCTCATATTACCTCCCATTCTCTTATCCAAACGTAGGGGATGCTCCAGGTGAGATTCCAGTAGTCTCCTTTTTCCTCAAAGTGCTGTCGTTTTAGATGCGGACAGAGGTAGATACATAGTTCTCCAAGCGAGGGAGGGAAGGCTTCCTTTGGTAAAGATCGTAGCTCTGGGCAGTCTTTTATACTTAACCGTTGAAGGGAGCCTAGGTTTTGGAATAGCCCCTCAGGTATGGATTCCAAATTTTCTTCTTCCTCAATCCAAAGAGAGGTTAAAGAAGAAGGCAGCACAATATCCAGAGGGAATTTCTGCCTAATTGTCAGCGATCGAAGAGACGTAAGGTTTTGGAGGCCCATCATCAAAACCTCACCTGAAAGTGATAGATGCTCAAGTGATGTGAGCTGGTACATTGTATTCGGCACACACTTGAGATTCTCACAGCCCTTTAATTGAAGAATTGTTAAGTTTGGGGGCAAACCCCCATCTGGAATGAACTCGATGCTGGGGCAACTCCACATCGATAGCTCTTGAAGAGATTTCAGCTGGTACATCGTATTTGGGAGGGATTTGAAATTCTCACACCATCTTATCTTCAACGAATTAAGATTGGGGGTGCATAACCCCAACTCTTCTGGTAAGGACTCTAAAACTTCACACTTCTCAATAGATAATCGAACGAGATTGCTGACGTAATCAAGATTGGGTAAACTTTTCAATATTTTACATCTATCAATTTCAATGGATTGGAGTCCCGTACAATGTTGCAGCATCTTCTCTGGAAATGATTCCAGCCACTCGTCACCATCAGTAACTCTAAATTTCTTGAGAAAAGTTGGTAGCTGATGACAACTACCCTGAGAAGAATAAAAACATGGAAGATTACATATTTTTGAATGTAGATCGCTATTATTATAGTCACCATCAGCATCTGGTAAAGACTCAAGACCTTTACAATTCTCTATACTCAAGTATTTAAGCGAGGTGGGTAATTTGCCTCTTGGAAACGACTTGAGAGAATTACAATCACAAATTTCCAACCTTTCTAGTCTCGACATCCACATGCTAGTGTTGCTGCTACTGCTTCCATCCATCCTCATCATCATTGCATGGGGTAATGACTCCAAAGCTCCACATGCCATAACCGAAAGATGTTTAAGATTGAAAGGCAAGAGGCTTTGTTCTATTTCTATCCCTTCCTCCCACAAACAAGTAAGATCATTGCAATCTGTAATATCCAAGGTCTCAAGTGCTGTCCAGGACTGTGTAAAACCCTCAGGCAAGCAAGTCAATTCTGAAATTAGCTGAATTCTCAAGTTAACAAGGGAAGTGAGATCAACCATGCTCTTCAAAAGCACCCCGTTGCAGTTTGTAATAGACAACTCTTTCAATGATGGAAGACTCATGCTCATAGGCAAGCAAGTCAATTCTGAAATTCGTGTAATTCTCAAATCAGTAAGAGAGGGGACATCTCCCATACTCTTCAAAAGCTTCCCATTACACCAGCTAACATCTAACTCTTTAAGTGAAGAAAGGTTGTTGGGTAATTGTCCTAACAACTTAGGACAATTTTCAATCACAAGCTTATGAAGACAAGGGAATTCACCTGCACTTCCAGCTGGAGAAGTCCATTCCCGCCACTCTCGCATGTTTCTGAACACTAGTTCAACCAGTGATGGAAAAGAGCCATGCAACCCATAAAACTCAGAATTTATAGCTTCTATTGAACCCATGCCTTCAATAATTAATTCTTTTAGAGCAGGTAGTAGGCCAAGTGATGGTAACAAAGTGCATCTCTCACAATTACGGAGCTCTATGGATGATAAATTGAAAAATAATGATGGATCACAAACCCATTTTGGGAAATTCTCACCACCATAGCAAGAAATTTTGAGACTCTTCAAATTTGAATGAGGTTTTAACAAGCTGAGGACCTGCATTTCGAGGACTAATTCTATTTTATCATTACGAAGAGCAATCCACTCCAAGACTAACTCTTCCAAACCATGGATCTTGTCTAGGTTGGCCTCCCTAGCTTCTTGAACATTCAAAACATTCTGCAAATCTAGAATAGATAGTCTTCCTCGAAGTTGCGACAAGTTCTTCAAATTAGATAATCTCGTCATCATTCCACTTGCCTCCCCCACGATGAATTTGGACAATGTTAACAGATTTTTAAGATTGCTTATTCCTGATGGCATCTCTGTTAGAAATGGTGTATCAGTGATATCAAGATGATGGAGATCAATTAGATTCCCAATTGTCATAGGCAACTTACTAAGCTGTCTACAATCACATAATAGCAGTGTTTGTAAAAAGAGAAGAGAACCCACTGATTCAGGTATACATTTGATACTTGTACAAGAAAAATCAATGTACCGAATATGTTTCAAATTTTGAAAAGATTCTGGTAGCTCGCTTATCAGATAGTGGCGAAGAGATAGCACTCTTAAGCGATTTAATGTTGGTAGGAAATCATGCAAGATTCTTTTAGACAAATAGCAGGAATTGTGTGCTGTTAATGGCAAGAATGTTCTCAGATGCTTCAATTTATCCAAGACTGTGAATCTCTCTGACAGTTCATACTGGTGTGGAGTGAATGACAAATGACGAGCTTTCTCTAATTTTTCATCACCCATGCTACGTTCAAGATTGCAATATATTTTTCCAGCAACATCTACAGCTAAATCATTTATGAGGTCATGCATCACAAATCTTGATTTATTTTTACTTGATTGTTGAAAGAGTGATCTTGAGAATAATTCTTGGAAATATTGATGGCCAATCTCCTCTTCTATTTGCTTCTTTCCACGTGGCTGTTGCTGCAATAAGCCCTCAGCCATCCATAATAAAACCAGCTCCTTTTCTTTGAATTCATAGTCTTGAGGGAACAAAGCACAATAAGCAAAGCATCGCTTCAAGTAAGAAGGAAGATGATTGTAGCTCAATCTCAGAGCAGGAAGAATTC